TATAAAGTCAGAATTGAGAGATATAAAGTCAGAATTGCGAGATATTAACTCAGAATTATGAGATATAAAGTCAGAATTGAGAGATATTAACTCAGAATTGAGAGATATTAAGTCAGAATTGTGAGTTATAAAGTCAGAATTGAGAGTTATAAAGTCAGAATTGAGAGTTATAAAGTCAGAATTGAGAGTTATAAAGTCAGAATTGAGAGTTATAAAGTCAGAATTGAGAGTTATAAAGTCAGAATTGAGAGTTATAAAGTCAGAATTGAGAGTTATAAAGTCAGAATTGAGAGTTATAAAGTCAGAATTGAGAGTTATAAAGTCAGAATTGAGAGTTATAAAGTCAGAATTGAGAGTTATAAAGTCAGAATTGAGAGTTATAAAGTCAGAATTGAGAGTTATAAAGTCAGAATTGAGAGTTATAAAGTCAGAATTGAGAGTTATAAAGTCAGAATTGAGAGTTATAAAGTCAGAATTGAGAGTTATAAAGTCAGAATTGAGAGTTATAAAGTCAGAATTGAGAGTTATAAAGTCAGAATTGAGAGTTATAAAGTCAGAATTGAGAGTTATAAAGTCAGAATTGAGAGTTATAAAGTCAGAATTGAGAGTTATAAAGTCAGAATTGAGAGTTATAAAGTCAGAATTGAGAGTTATAAAGTCAGAATTGAGAGTTATAAAGTCAGAATTGAGAGTTATAAAGTCAGAATTGAGAGTTATAAAGTCAGAATTGTGAGATATAAAGTCAGAATTGAGATATAAACTCAGAATTATTAGATATAAAGTCAGAATTCAGAGATATTAACTCAGAATTGAGAGATATTAAGTCAGAATTGAGAGCTATTAAGTCAGAATTGAGAGATATTAAGTCAGAATTGTGAGTTATAAAGTCAGAATTGTGAGATATAAAGTCAGAATTGAGGTATAAAGTCAGAATTATGAGATATAAAGTCAGAATTGTGAGTTATAAAGTCAGAATTATGAGATATAAAGTCAGAATTATGAGTTATAAAGTCAGAATTATGAGATATAAAGTTAGAATTGAGATATAAAGTCAGAATTGTGAGATATAAAGTCAGAATTATGCGATATAAAGTCAGAATTGTGAGTTATAAAGTCAGAATTATGAGATATAAAGTCAGAATTTTGAAATATAGTCAGAATTGTGAGATATAAAGTAAGTCAGAATTATGAGATATAAAGTCAGAATTGTGAGTTATAAAGTCAGAATTGAGATATAAAGTCAGAATTATGAGATATAAAGTCAAAATTTTGAAATAAAGTCATAATTGTGAGAAATATAGTCAGAATTATGAGATAAAGTCAGAATTGTGAGATATAAAGTCATAATTATGAGATATAAAGTCAGAATAGTGAGATATAAAGTCATAATTATGAATTGTGAGATATAAAGTCAGAATTGTGAGTTATAAAGTCAGAATTGTGAGTTATAAAGTCAGAATTGTGAGTTATAAAGTCAGAATTGTGAGATAAAAAGTCAGAATTGCGAGATAAAAAGTCGCAATAACCTTTTAAATTATTTTAAATTCCGTTGATAAAAACAAGCTTCCATAGAACTAAGATGCGCACTTGTCTCAAAACAGACTGAACTGTCCATTTAGACTGCATGCGTTTGGGCATTTAAATGGGTTTAAATGTGAATATGCCTGTTTATTCATTGTTCAATCATCCTGTGATGCACAAAAATGCTTTCATTGTATGCAACACAGAGATTTGAGACACGGCCAGCATTTGTCAGAGTCATCTGATACATCCGTAGATCACGTAACCAACTGGGTTACACAAATGACACCAGCGTAAAGGTTTCTCGATTCTGGCACCGCTCATCACGCCTGCTACTCCGAAATGTTGAGGCTCACATCTTAAGCAAGACTAAATTCCCTAAACATCTGAATCATCTCAGTCCTACAGAGAATACTTCACTTTACCTGCCATATGGTGCATCTGTAACACGAAACAGGTGCTCATGCATGTTAGATGTGCATGAAAGTCACTGAAACTGGTTTTGAGAGTTTATTTCTTTTAGTTAAGGTGTGGTTTACAATTGGCATTAAAAGCACCCTTTCCTAATTTGACAAGTAAACAGCGATTCATTACATATAATTTGCATGTTCTCGGTCATGTTATACTGCATTTGTCAGAACAGCTCACATTATTTGCTTCTCTTATGATTAAAGTCTGGCAAAACGGCTAATATAAGACGCTTACAGCATCTGCGTCACCCAAAAATTTAAATCTGCTGAAAATGTGTTCACCCTCAGTTCATCCGAGATTAGGATGAGTTTGTTTCTTCATTATGTTTAGAGAAATGCAGCATTGCATCAGTGTCTCAGCAATGGATGCTCTGCAGTGAATGGGTGCCGTCAGAATGAGAGCTGATATAAACATCACAGTAATCCACAGCACTCCAGTCCATCAGTTAACATCTGGAGAAGACAAAAGCTGAAACTAATCCAGCATTAAGACATTTTTAACTCAAATACATAAAGTCCATAATCCATAATAACGCTTCCTCCAGTGAAAAAGTGTTCTGGTGTGAATCAGGAGAGAAATCTGCACAGATCAAGCAGCGTTTAAACAGCTCTAAACACATACGTGGCTGGATTTTGATGTGAGAGACAACAGCAGATGCACTTTTTCTCTGGAGGAAGCGTTATTATGGATTATGGACTCTGTGGTATTTTAGTTAAAAATGTCTTAATGTTGGATTTGTTTCAGCTTTTGTCTTCTCCAGATGTTAACTGATGGACTGGAGTGCTGTGGATTATTGTGATGTTTTTATCAGCTCTCATTCTGACGGCACCCATTCACTGCAGAGCATCCGTTGCTGAGACACTGATGCAATGCTACATTTCTCCAAATCTGATGAAGAAACAAACTCATCCTAATCTTGGATGACCTGAGGGAGTGTAAATGTTGAGCTTTTATTATCTTCATCTCACGTAAGTGGGAATCAGAGAAATCATACTATTAATTTCTTTAAGGTTAAATCATTTTTAATGAGGAAAAACGAATTTTCCGAGAACTGTGACACGGTCGGTCCGCTGCGTTGAATGGAGAGTGAGTGAACTTTGTGTTCTGACTGAAATGAAATCATGGTGTATTACATGAAGATCAAACGTGCGCTTGCTTTTGTTTAAAACGAGAGCGGCGAGCATGTTTCGAGTTTGCGGTTGAGCAGATGTATTTCTGCTGTACCTCAATGTCATGATCTATAAGATGTTCCATCGCATTTCTGACTTGAGAACAGTCTGTCCGGTGATGGGTGAGATCCCGTGAGTCACGGGCCGTTATTTGGGATGGTCGATAGTGACAAATAAACAATGTGGTATATACAGTGAAGTCCAAACATCTGAGAGCACGCTGAGGATCTGCAGAACAGAGTCTCATTTCTACCTGGAAACCGGAAATACTTCAAACAGAAATATTTCACATTCTAGGTTACTAATCAAATGAGCAAAATTCATATCAGTATTTTGTTTTAGCATTAATATAGTATTACACTATTTATTAATATTTTTAATTTGTTTTTATATTTTCCATTTTCCTTTTAAAGTTTGTCATTTTTTTCTTTCTTATTGTTGGTTTATTTGTTTTTTTCTGTCCATTACGTTTTTATAATTTTTTGTTTTAATTTTAGTAATTTTGTTGTTTTTATCATTTGTATTCGTTTTTTTAATATCTGTTTATTTTAGTAATCTATTTTATTTTATTTTTTAGTAATTTGGTTGTTTTTGTCGGCTTTATTATTTTTAGTTTTATTTAGTTTTTATTATTTTATTTCAGTTTTAGTAATTATGTTGGTGTTTTTTATTTTATTTTTATGTCCATGTAGTTATTATTTTTTATTTCAGTTTTAGTTTTAGTAATTTTGTGTTTTGTAATTTTATTAGTTTTTTATGTCTATTTGGTTTTTATTATTTTTCATTTTAGTTTTGTAATTTTGTTGGTTTTATAATATGTATATTTAGCTTTTATTAATTTATTTCAGTTTTAGTCATTTTGTTGTATTTTTGCCGTTTTTATTATTTTTTTTTAATTGTCTATTTAGTTGTTTTTGATTTTATATTTCAGTTTTAGAATAAAAATTCTAAAGGTTGCCTTGGCAACTAACTGAAATATATATTTAGGTTTATTTGATCTTTTATTTGATCATTTCAGTTAACATTTATTTTAATGAATGTACATTTTTTGAATAGTTGACGGTAACACCTGTAACACCTTGTTATTTGAAAATTGAATACCATCTTTTTTTATGCTTACATCATCTGCAATGTAAAAATGGTTTTGAATTATTAAAAATAAAATTACATTTAGTCATTTAGCAGATGCTTTTATCCAAAAACACAAAAAGAACATCATAAATGCACATATTGCAAATGCAAAATAGATAAACCGTCACATTGCTGAGGTGTTTTGTTCTGTCTCTTGAAGATGACGTGAACAGTCTTTACCCGGAGCAGTTCGAGAGCGTGATGGACTTCATCCAAGCCACTATCGGCCGACTGCGCAGATCCTCCGACATCGACTCGCGAACCAAGCGGGACAGGGGCCGCCAGAGAGGAGCAACAAACACCGAGAGGAGCGGCCGGGGACGAGGAGACCGGAAGAGGGGTCGCGGACGAGGCGGCGGAGGCCGAGACGACAGGGTCAAAGGTCAAGGGCGTGGGTGTCTGCTGAAAGAGATCCACCTCAACGTCACAGACCTGGGCTTGGGTTACAGGACCAAAGAGGAGCTGATCTTCCGCTACTGCAGCGGCCCGTGTTTCGACGCCGAGACCAACTACGACAAGATCCTCAACAACCTCACCCACAACAAGAAGCTGGACAAGGAAACGCCGTCTCGGACTTGCTGTCGGCCCGTCGCGTTCGACGACGACGTCTCGTTTTTGGACGACAGCTTGGAATACCATACTCTGAAGAAGCATTCGGCTAGAAAGTGCGCTTGCGTTTGACGGACGAAACCAGAGCGAAATGCTTCAGACTGGGCCGCAGGACTCTCGGAAAGAGATACATTCAGTATTCACTTTGTTACCAAACCACATAACAGACAGCGTTTATCCAGCAACAAACACAGTGGAATAAGCAGTGGATTATCACGTTTACACAGAGACAGACTCCACATCTTAAATATCCAGAAAGCTATCTAGATATATATATAGTATATATGAAAATGTATTTATTGAGATTTAATTAAGTTATTGTTATTTATTGCAATCCATTGTATTAGAGTGTTTGTTTCTCTTATTTATTTAAGGAGGGTTTTTTTGTTCTCTATCTTGGATGGTGCCAAATTTGAACATGTGTTTTTAAAGAAGCCGTTCACAGTTTGTCATTTACTCAAGCTCATGTTGTTCATGACTTATGCAAAACACAGAATGAGGCGCTAAGGTGTGATATGTGTGTGTGTGTGTGTATATATAGTCTATATATACACACACACCGGACCATTTCTGCCTTCCAAATTGTGCCGAAATTTCACTAATCTCATGCTCAGATCTAAAACATTTCATTTATTATGTATGCAAAAAATAACTAAAGTAAATAAAATAACAAATATAACATTTCTATTTTTCATGATATTAATATTTAATATTAGAAAATCTCATAATTGCAAATCTCTCAAATCTCATGGCCAAGCATGGGGGCCGATTTATTTTTTTCTAATATTAATAATATTTAATATTCAAAGTTTGAAGTCATATGATTGACAGACAGACACACATTTAATATGTAAATTACTGCAAATCTCTCAAATCATGATCAAATATGGTGGTGGCCTTTTTTCCCCCTAATATTAAAAAAAAAAATTCTAGTAAAATATATTAGAAAAAAATAGAATGTGTGTGTGTGTGTGTGTATATATATATATATATATATATATATGAAAAAATGAAATTATAAAAAATGTTAGAGAAAGTAACATAAAATAAAAAAGAAATTAAATATTACATATTTAAATTTTTTTCTAATATATTTTCTTCCATGTATGTATTTTTGATATACATACATATGAAATTATTTCGATCTGAGCATAACTACTATCTTATAATTACTAGTACATAATATATTTTTAATATATATTTATATATAAATTTTTCTCTGTGTTGTGTAGTAATGTATGAAACACAGCTCGCAAGGAAATCACCGTCAGATCAAGCAGATTTCTGTTGTTTATGTGTCAAAGTCATGTGACCAACTTCAGCCTGTTGCAAAATCTGCATGGGGAAATCTTTTGCCTCTCGCACGAAATTTCCAATTAAAACGAATGGATTTTGCCAAACATCAGTAAATGTGACCTCAACCTTTAGGCAGATGATAGGAGATTCTGGTTTCCATTCAGTGAAGGTGGATGGGGATTTATACGGGTTCATTTAGCACAATGAAAATAGTGAAAATAACTTATGCACTATATTTAAAGTCTTCTGAAGTCATATGATGGATTTGCATGAGGAACCAACCTAAATTTAAGGCATTTTTTAATGCAAATATCTAAAATCTTAGTGTCAAACACACTGAATAAGAAATGGTGCATTTAGACTCACCATTGCATCCAAACGTCACTGATTTTTGCATGTCAGATTGATACAAGCGTGAAAAATGCATGAGATTTGGGAGCTACTGTTTGTTTTGTCAATGAACGGCAAGGTCAATTTGTGTTTGTTCCTCACAGAATGCATCACACGACTTGAGAAGACATGGAAAATAATGCAAAGTGGTGTTGTTATGATACTTTTGCATAAGATCAGATGGCTTTTGGAAGGGCATGAGCTTGAGTAAATCGGAGAATATCATTAGATGAACGAACGAAAAGCAGATAATCGCGTCTCGTCCGTGACGTTCGGCCCCACACTCTTAAAAATAAAGGTGCTTCAAAAGGTTCTTCAAGCGATGCCACAGAAGAACCATTTTTGGGTCCACAAAGAACCATTCAGTCAAAGGTTCTTTAAAGAACCATCTTTCTTACCTTTTTGTAATCTGAAGAACCTTCTTTCAACACAAAGAAGCTTTTGTGAAACAGAAAGGTTCTTCAGATGTTAAAAGTTCTTTATGGAATCATTTAGACAAAAAGGTTCTTCTATGGCATCGTGAAGCACCTTTATTTTTAAGAGTGCATGCAGTCAGTGATGGAAAAGACACGTCTTCGGTCTCCAGCTCCACCAGACAGTCTGTTTCCTACAAGAAAAGAACAGATAATGAGCGGGCAGAGGACCAAGTATTATTGTAGAAAATAAAAAGCCCATGTTGTTTTGCAAAAAGCGCAAGTCTCGATTTTTTGCTGTCATTAAAACAGGCAGTGCTCAAACCGGTCCTCAGATGGCTCGTCTCCAATTATCTCTTTAAAATACGGTCTGGCCTGGCGTGTTTACATCTCGCTGTAATGAAATCAGTGCCAGAGACCGCCTGCGCCGAGCCGAGCGCCACAAATGGACTGTTTGATCAGAGCAAATAATGTTACATGTGACCTGTTTAAACCCACTGACCGCTCTGTCCCGTCAGGAGCGACCGCTGAGGTCAAACCGGCTGTTTAGCCATTAATCTGCACAGAAAAGCGCCGCGGACCACCGACCTTTAAGACCAGTTATATCAGATCAGCTTTGTCTGCTCTAACCGACTTGAAATAAACTTCTCAACAGGATCAGTCCTCTCAATTCTAGAGCAGCCTGGGGCTTCGACTGTAAACAAGCCCATATGAAGACAAAACGCTGGCTTTCTTGTGCATTAAGCCCAAAGTACACTTCAGGTGCGTCCCAAATCGCGTACTTATGCACTATTCTATGCCGTTTTGCAGTATAAATAGTGCGAGTAGTGCGTTCAACACTGAAAACTACAAAAAGAAAAAGTGCACTTTAAATACCCGGATGATGCACTTAAATAGAAACTGTCGCAGCTTTAATTATGTAGCGAAGGGGGAGGGGCTATCAGACTCCAATTATGAATGAAAATAACCTTATATAATTCATACTCTACTTGGTTAAGTACATAGTGCATAAGAACATAGTGTACAAGTGCATAGTGCGTCATTTGGGACGCAGCTTTCATTTTTGTTCGCATACGCTAGTTAACGTAGAGAAACAAGTTTTGCGGTAGCTCTATAGCATCACTGTTGAAGAGTAATTCGCTGGTGAAGCAGATTTATGCGCTGAAAAGGGGCGGAGCTACATAAAGTCTATACTCCATTCGATAGTGCGCGGCACATGCGCGCTAGAAAGTTCATCTTAGTCCAGTGTCTGCGCTATTTTTCTCCAGAAGTTATGACCGTTACAAATATAAACGTCTGGACTATTTTAAACTAGGGTTGAGCCAGTGCTAAACAACTTCAATACGCATGTGCGACATGAGCGTACAAAAAAGTAGGAGCGGTTACAAAAATATGACGAAATTTGCGTCACGCGCACTCTACGCGTGAAATCCAACGAAGTATACTTAGCACAATAAAAATAACTTATGCACTATATTTAAAGTCTTCTGAAGTCATATGATTGATTTGCATGAGGAACCAACCTAAATTTAAGGCATTTTTTAAAGCAAATATCTAAAATCTTAGGGTCAAGCACACTGAAGTATACTCTGGGCTTTACTGTTGCATTTGCATTATGATGCCGTAATCCCTGAACAAATCCACTCCTTTCAGAAGTATCCAGGCCAAACCTCTGTAAAGCACGAGGTGCCTCTTTTATCAGGATATATTTCATCAGCCGCTCCACCTTAATCATGATAAATGTGCTTTGCAGTCAAAACACGCATTCGCTGCGCTCCTCTGTCCTGATGTATGATGCACATGTCCTGCGCATGTAACTTACGCTCGTGGATTCCTCGAAAGGGAACATTCAAGATAAGAGTTCAAATGTCTGCTGAAGCTCATTTTTCGTCCTGCAGTGTCCGTCGGTCCTGTGAGACGTTTTGTCTTGTTTTGTGTTACTGAACCAAAGCTCTCTACAGACTTTATTTTTGTACAATATTCATTTTATAACTTTTTACAAAATAAATCTCATTTCTATCATGCTTTTGTGTGCATTCATGAATACGTCATCTATGCATGAGGTTTAAAAATGAAAGAACAATTAACTAGACAGATAAAAATTGACCTTTTTTTCCTTCCAGTGGTTTTTCATTTTATATAAATTGCACTCCAATGAGATGTTTAAGTCCTAAACATAACTAGAAAAATAGTCATGTTTATTTTTATATTATATATATATATATATATATAAAATAATGAATATATTTTGAAAAATATTTATTAAATAATTATTTTTAAAAACTACAAAAATAAAATAATTTTTATAGAATATACATTTTATCTAGTTATCTAAAATATTTATTTTTTATATTTATTATTTAGAATCAAATAGAATAGATTTTTAATTGTACATATTTATTCTAGTTGTGCTTTTATCTAGTTTACTCAGACTTAAAACATTTCATACAGTCTATTGTAGCAAAAATAAATATATACTAGTAAAAATCTAAATAAAAAAACTAAATTATAAACAAAGATACATTTGTAATTTTAGATTATATTATAGTTATATTATATAAAACCCTTTATTATTATAAACATTTCATATCATAAAATATATATTTATTATATATATTTTATATATTTCTAGTTATGCTTTTCTCTAGTTATGCTCAGCTCCAAAGCCTTTCATATATGTTGCACAAAATAAATACATAAATATATTAGTTAAAAAATGTATAAATTATAAATTAAAATAAATTTGTAATTTTATATTATATGATTATAATTGTGTTATGTAAAATCTTTTTCTAGTTATGCTCAGATTTAAAACATTTAGTATACACACACACATTAGTATACACTGTAAATTACAACATGTAAAAAAGATATTTACAGTATGAAGTCCATCATACTCCAGGGCTTTCAGATGATCAGTTGTCTGTCAGCTGAAGCTCAGGCGTGCTGAGAGACATTTCAGGGCTGAGGAGCGGTTTGGAGAGTCGGGATCCGTCCCGCTCAGTTCTAATGCATTCCTGAACAGCGGCCCAGGATTCTATGGTAAACAAAAGCTGGCTGTAAAGCCGGGCCGAGCAGTAAATCTGGGCACTCTGTGGAAATGTTTCCATGGGGCTGCAGAGGTTTGTGAAGAAGCCTAGCGGCTCTCTGTGTCCGTGTCACTGATTGGACCAGAAGAGGCCTGATCCCGCATTCAGACATTTAGATCCAGAACTGCACGTATGAGGACGGATCTGCAGGAAAATCACACACATGTGCTCGTGTAGAGAAAGACCTGCAGAATACCTTCCAAAAACATGGAATATGATGCAGCTTTATAAACAGACGGATGGACTGACTGAAGGACAGGATACGATGGATGGATGGACGCATGGATGGGTAGATAGATGGATAGACAGATAAATATAATAATAGATAGATGGATGTTTGGATGAAACGATAGAACAATGGATGAATGGATGGAATGACAGATTAATGGATGGATGGATGGAATGATAGGTATAACGATGGATGGATGAAATGGTATAAAAATAGATGGATGGATGGATATATGGAGTGATAGGTAGAGCAATGGATGGATGGATGGATGGATTGAATGACAGATAGATTAATAGATGGATGGATGGAATGATAGATAAGACAGACAGATGACAGACAGAGAGAGAGATAGAATGATAGATAAGACAGACAGACAGACAGACAGACAGATAGAACGATAGATAGACAGACAGACAGAACGATAGATAGATAGACAGACAGCCAGACAGATAGACAGCCAGACAGAGACAGCCAGACAGATATAGACAGACACAGACAGACAGACAGATATAGACAGACAGACAGACAGACAGACAGATAAGATAGATAGATAGATAGATAGATAGATAGATAGATAGATAGATAGATAGATAGATAGATAGATAGACAGATAGATAGATAGATAGATAGATAGATAGATAGATAGATAGATAGATAGATAGATAGATAGATAGATAGATAGATAGATAGATAGATAGATAGACAGACAGA